ACCATATCCCAGAACCTCAACAATGCCTGGCATGATGCAGTCACTCAATGTTTCATTGTTGTTGAATAAATAATCTGTAGAAGGTGCAGGGCAATCATGAGGGCAGGAGAAACCCCCAATTTATGCCAGTATTGTCCCACCCTGGATTTGTCAGCTGTCTCTGATTGCTGCATTCCAGCTTGTTTTATCTCGCCCTTTAGCTTGTCAGCCTAGTGTCCTTTCCTTTTCCGGGGACAGAACATGCAGCCGGGACTCAGCAAACACCAATTAGTTCAGGCTGAATTGAACTGCGTTTCACTGGATAGCTCTTGAAGTTTGTTATGAGTTACACAGTCTCCTCTCATTAAAGAATATTCTTCTCATTTTTTTTTGTCAACATTTGTTTAAAAAATATCCTTTCATTGAGGGGAAAAATATGAATTGGATGTTTGCAGCAAGATACGTAGCTTCATAATTATGATTGAACTATGTAGTTCATTACATCTTAGAATCTAAAATGAAACCATCCATAGCCTTTTGAAGTTGATTCCCAGGACATGTTCCATCTCGCTCGCTTCTTTTCTTAAGAGAACACAGGAGGGTGAATCCTACCAGCTTTTGGGACAGCCAGTCCTCATTACCCTACAGCTTGCTAAGACAAAATTTGGGATTCCACTTGAAATTCAGAGATTATTGTAAGAAAATAAATTGTATTTCGATATACTCAGCCATCGATTTAACATGTGTTGTCTTTTTTTTTTGGGGGGGGGGGAGGGGAGCATAAAAATCAGACTGAGAATTGTTCCAAACATAATCTATTGTTACTATCTTGATAGAGGTTGAAATTTTGTAAAGCAAAACAAACAAACAAAAAAACAGAAGAATTACTCTTAAGCCAGAGCCTAATTTAAAATGGGGTTTCTCAGCCTCAGCACTGTTGATGTTTGGGTCCAGAGGTTGTCCTATCCTACAAAATGTACACTATTTAACAGCACCCGTGGCTTCTACATATTAGATGACAGTAACACCCTCCCTCCCTCCCATTTTGGTGATCAAAAATGTCTCCAAGGGGTTGGAGGACAAAATTATGCTGGTGAGAAACACTGAGCTACAACAGTCCTGCCCTGGCTGGTGTGGCTCAGTTGGTTGAGCATCACTCCATGTACCAAAAGGTCACTGGTTCAATTCCTGGTCAGGGCACCTACATATTTTGTATAATAAAAATGTGCACTTGAAACTTAAAAAGAAAAAAAGCAATATATATATATATATATATATATATATATATATATATAGAGAGAGAGAGAGAGAGAGAGAGAGAGAGAGAGAGAGAAAGAGAGAGAGAGAGAGAGAGAGAGAGAGAGAGAGAGAGAGAGAGAGAGCGAGCGCCAGGGGCCATCACAAACAAAACAAGTGGAAGGATGACCTAACAGCCTGCATGAGGTGACCAGGCCAGCAGGGCTGTCAGTGAGGAATGACTAAACAACCAAACAATAGGCTGTGTGGGGCGACCAGGCCAGCAGGGGGGGCAGTTGGGGGCAACCAGGCCAGCGTGGGAGGCAGTTAGGAGTGATCAGGCTGGCAGGCAGAGATGGTTAGGGGTGATCAGGCTGGCAGGAGAGGAAGTTAGGGGTGATTAGGCAGGCAGGCAAATGAGCGGTTAGGAGATAGCAGTCCAGGATTGTGAGAGGGATGTCTGACTGCCAGTTTGGGCTCTATCCTGGAGATCGAGAATTCCTGATTGGAGAGGGTGCAGGCTGGGTTGAAGGGACCCTCCCCCCAATGCATGAATTTCATGCACCAGGCCTCTAGATAAATACATAAAACAGTCCAACATGGCAGGATCTTATTTTAAGGAGATTTTTAAATCTTCAGCTATTTCCCCACTATATCACCATAGTGTGATAATAGACCAGGTAGCATTTTTCTGTTTTCTAACAAATATATTTATTTGTGCTCTCCTTCTTCTCTAATACTAGAGCTGTAGTAAACAGTAGAGTCCTTAAGGGTAGTAGTGTCCTTTCCATTTCTTTGATTTTCTTTACAGAAATAAGAATAGTGCTTGGTCTGATGGAAACATGTGACAGCATGCATTAACCAACCCCATAGGAAACTCAACTAGAAGATATTCATTTATGCTCTCAATTGGAAGAATGTAAGTATCATGGGAGCATATTATTTTCTCTTTCTCTCTCTCTTGTTCACTGTTGTATTTCCAGCACCTAGAAGAGCATCTGGTGCACACCAAATGCTCAATCAATATGTAATAAAGGAATTATGTCATTTCTTTTCTAAAAATGTTTAATGAGGTCCCTGACTTATTTCCATGGGAGATTATTTGGAATCTTTAGGCTGAGGTTTAAGGCTCTCTTTATTCTGTGTTTTTCAATATTCTTCTGTGCATCTCTGCTATACAGTCCCACTCTTGGACACAAGCTTAGATCCAAACATTTTCTCAAATTCTCACAAACATTTTTGCCAATGAAGAACTCCTCAGTTTGTTCTCAACTGAGTGAAATCAATATAACACACATTTCAAAAATCAGCTTATTTCATCTCTTTTAGAGAATATCTGAGTCCATAAACTCATGGGGATCTCTCTTTGCTCAAAGCCTAAGACTTACTGCTCTGTACCTCACCTTGTACATTTTAATTCTATAAGAAGCAGCACCTTTCACTCTATGATTTTGAGTTATCATTTCCATGTATGCATGTCTTCTCTCTCTCCAAGTACACAGCAAATTTTTAGAAGGCAGGGACAAATTATCATGTTTAGAAATAATATAGAGTCTATTAATGATAGCTACATAATAAAGGTACATTATTCTCATTAATTATTTTATTTATTTATCTATTCAACTAGTATTTTTTAAAATATATTTTATTGATTTTTTTACAGAGAGGAAGGGAGAGAGATAGAGAGCTAGAAACGTCGATGAGAGAGAAACATCGACCAGCTGCCTCTTGCACACCCTCTGCCGGGGATGTGCCCGCAACCAATGTACATGCCCCTGACCGGAATCGAACCTGGGACCTTCAGTCCACAGACCGACGCTCTACCACTGAGCCAAACCGGTTTTGGCTCAACTAGTATTTTTTACTGGCTTTCTTTGTGCTAGACATGTGCCAGGATGTAAAAAATATGCTTACTGTTTTTCATGAAGTGTTTAGATAAGTTGGAGAAAACATGATATCTAACGTGGTGAGAGCTAGATTTAGCATGAGAAAACTTTGGTATGAATACTAACTTGGCCACTTACTAGTCATGTGACCACTTATGCTCTTAGCATCTTAGTGTCCCCATCTGGGAAGTGGGAATGATAACACTTGTTCTGTCTGCCTATCATAATAAAGATCACACCACATTGTATTTTATGTGCAAACATTTTCTAAGTGACTGAACATCATGGTTTTAATTTGTTCACAAATTGTTTGACAAAATCTCTTCAACAAGTGGAGCCTAATTCTCCTCTCCTTCAGGACAAAGCCGCCATAGTGGGGGCCAACGCAGAGGTGGTTAGGGGCAATCAGGCAGATAGGAAAGAAGTTAGGGGTGATCAGGCAGGAAGGTAGAGTGGTTAGGGGCAATCAGACAGGCAGGAGCATGGTTAGGGGTGATCAGGAAGGCAGGCAGAGGCAGTTAGGGGTAATCAAGTGGGCAGGTGAGTGGTTAGGGGTGATCAGGTAGGCAGACTAGTGGTTAGGGTGATCAGGCAGGCAGGCAAGCAGGCAAAGTGGTTAGGGATGATCAAGCAGGCAGGCAGGCAGGATAGCGGTTAGGATCCAGTGGTCTGGAATTGTGAGAGGGATCCTGGATTGCGAATAAATGCAGGCTGCACTGGGGGAGACCCCCCCTTACCTCCATGCACAAATTTCGTGCACCGGGCCTCTAGTGTTTTATAAGTTGTTAAATTTTGGGGTGAAATATTTGTTATGAAGCAATAGACAATCCACAGAGTACTGTACAGACTTAAGGTACTATTTTTGAGTATGCTATTATTTATTAAATGAAGCATATCATAATTTATAATTGTTTATTTCTGAATAATGAATTAGAAGTGAAAGAAAAAGAAACTTTAAAAGGAAAATGACAAAACCTTAAGAACTAAAAAAAAAAAAAAATCACGTGAATATAAACTTTCTAATTTGCAGGAGATGCTCACTCTGCCTCGTTCTTTATTTTCTGAAACATATCAACCTGTGACAGTGGCTGCAGGCTATCTGCTGAAGGCTACAGGCTAAAAGAATTGTTCATCCCTACTAACTGCTTTTGTTTGATTCCTTTTCAGTTCTCATTTTGAGCTAAAATTAATAGTTTTAATTAAATAAAAATGAAAACTTTACTTTTATACTCCATAGACTATATAAATATTTGTATTAGAAAAAATCATCATAGTTCTTTGTTAAATACCAAGGACATGGACATAGAAATTTATAATTTGTTTGCCAACTTCTGAAAGTCAGTGTTATTTCTTTGCTGTAGAAACACTAACCCAGCCTGATCTCCATTATATTTTTTTAATTTCTTTATTGATTAAGTTATCACATCTTTGTCCTAATCTCCAGTATTAATAATGTCCCTGTGAGGCTGAATTCATAGTCCTCACTAGTCAACTTGGTCAAAATTAATTTGAACCAGGACAAATTTAAATTTTAAATTTTATTTACCTACCTCTAGTCCACAGAATCTCTGTTTACAACAAATTTCTTACAAACATCCCACTTAGAAGGAGGAGGGCTGTCAATTTATTAACCTACTTAATAATATAATAAAAAATTTAATTTCTCACTGAATATTCATTTACTCTGTTTTTTCTAGGACTTTAAGTGAAGGACTTTGGAAGTTGTGCTAACTCTTGGAAACCTGGAGAATAGTACTTATGTGTTTATCTGAAATATCATAGATTAGAAAAGCTCATGAATGACACAAATGTTTTGAATTTTTTTCCTTTATCTGTATGCTTCGTTAAAGGATTAATAAATAGGACATGGAAATTAAAACAGTATGAAAATATTCTTACCTGTGGGAGATCTGTTGTTGGCCGGAGAAGGTTGGGTGCCAAAGGTAGATTCTGTAATACCAAGGGTAGATTCTGTAATACCAAAGATAGATTCTGTAATACCAAGGATAGATTCTGTAATGCCAAGTGCAGGATCTGTCGGAGGGGTTACTGAGTCTGAAAGGACAAAGCAGAAATTTATAATGAATAAAAGTACTATAATAGAAAGATAAAGTATTGACTTAATCTTCCCCGCCCAAACTTTGTTTATTCATTTAACAAATCATCATTGAGGCCTTTTAACAGGCAAGGCAGTGGCACATAATGGCAAATAACAGAGTCCTGTGGCTGTCTCTAAAAAGCATACAGCCTAGATCAGTGGTCAGCAAACTCATTTGTCAACAGAGCCAAGTATCAACAGTACAACGATTGAAATTTCTTTTGAGAGCCAATTTTTTAAAACTTAAATGCCTTCCAATGCCACTTCTTCAAAATAGACTTGCCCAGACCATGGTATTTTGTGGAAGAGCCACACTCAAGGGGCCAAAGAGTTGCATGTGGCTCACAAGCCACAGTTTGCAGATCATGGGTCTAGATGGTAGGTGGGGAACCAGCACTGTATTGATGCTGTGAGAGAGGAAGAGAGGGGGGTCAGGGGGAGGCACAGGAAGGTCACCCTCCTGGGGTTGGGAGGTCAAGAAAAGCTTTCTGGAAAAAGTGACATTTAACCAAGACCTAGTAAAACAAGCACAACAGCTAATATCTGAAGTATTTAAAAAGTAACCACACAGTTTACAAGTCTATAAACACACAAAAATTGTTTTACCAGCAAGTGTAGAAACAATGATACAACTATCAGACTGGATATAATACCAATGAACTTAAGATTGATGGTATGATTATGCTCTTTCTAAAATGCCTATTTTTGTCATAAAATTTTTATTTGGCTACACTTTTCTCTCTGTATGTGGGAGGGGGTTTAATGAAAGAGAGGCTGGAATATGTCATTTGACTTATTATGTATCCTTGTCAATTCTTTTAAAGCCTTCATTATTTGACTGTAAGATATTCCTATTAGCAATACAAAACAATTTAGAAATGCCAAAAGAAATCTACTGACTAGGAATATTTGGGTTAGATATGGGTAAGTGAATTTGAATCTAGGGAACTTTGTGATTTTCTAGATAAAATGGCATTGGGTATAGTGTCATGTATTTGATGTCAGTTATTTAGATATTTGATTACACATTATCCTGTTGGTTCTATTCTGTAACTTAACTTAAGGGAAAAGTATATATTTTTTAAATTATGTCACTTGAAACCACAGCATATTGGGAGGAATTTCTTATTGTCAGATGAATCTATGTTTTATTTTTATTGGTAGTAATGTTGTTACTGCTATTGGCTGTAGGTGGCACTAACAGCTGGCTCTGACTTGCTATCATACAAATGATTCCTTGTTATTAATCTCTGCGGAGGAGGAAGATGGTAGTTATATGGAGAGTATATGAATAGGTTAGTAGAATGACCATCTTCTTCTCCACATGCCATCCCAAACAAGATGGACCTCTGAGCATGATGTGCACATTTGATCATGATTTGGCCCCCTATCGCATCCCTGACTTCATTTCCTGATGCTGCCCATCATCTTTTACATTTCTCTCAGATCACATTCTCCAGCCAGCAGGTGATAGCTCAGCCCTGTTTCCTAAACACAATATGCTCTCAATGAGTGCCTGATCTTTGTGCATGCTGTTTCTAACACTTTCTCACCCCAAACCTCCTGGGATGCACTTCCTCAAACTTAAAAGGAGCTTTATGATGTGTTCAGAGTTTACCCTGCAAAGGCCTTATTACTTATGGGGCATGCCCTTCAAGAGAAGTAATTACTTTGTTCCTCACTTTGTATTTTTGTATTTTATGCAAGTGGATGATGATTCAGTGCCTACAAATTTCCTCTTAACATTGGAAGGAAGAAGTCCAGCTTTAAGTACAGAGCTGACTACGGGTGCATCATAAGCCTTATCTTCCAAAGGAATAACCTTGCTGAAACCAATTTGGCTCAGTGGATAGATCGTCGGCCTGTGGACTGAAATATTTCGGGTTTGATTCTGGTCAAGGGCATGTGCCTTGGTTGCAGGCACATCCCCAGTAGGGGGTGTGCAGGAGGCAGCTGATCAATGTTTCTCTCTCATCGATGTTTCTACCTCTCTATCCCTCTCTCTTCCTCTCTGTAGAAATAACCTTAATCAGTCGAAACACACACCTAGAAATATGATGCAGAGGTGTTTTTCTCTGTGGATTGCTTAGAACAGAGGTTGCCACATGTGGCTCACATGTCAAATCCCACTCATTGCCTGTGTTTGCAAACAGAATTTATTGGAACACAGCCATGCCCATGTGTTTATATATTATCCGTATAAGAAAAATCTGTTGTCTCAGTGCAAAGTAGAGAAATTCTGGGAATATTACAGAGCAGAAAAGAGACTGAGTAAGAGGAGAGCAGTTTTTGTTGCCTTTAATAAGAGTAACAATGTTGGTAGGCTGTAAGATAAGTGTCTGAGGTTCTCCCTTCCCCACCTACCCTGTATCCCAGGAACTCCTCCCCCCTCTGATAAAAGCAATGCAGACCTTTTAACATAAAACTTGAGGCCAAAAATATCCTTCTGGTTTCAGATTGGCCTGCAAAGTCAAAACTCTGCCTCAGTCAAAACAAAACTTAGGGGTATAAAAAGGAGCAGCTAAAACCTAACAGGGAAAAACTATTTTCTGAAATTCAAATTCAGAAGTTAGCAAACACATGTCAGCCAGTTTACAGACCATCAGGTTGTCAGGGGTAGAGATATTGGCCAAAAGCAGCTCACTTTGTTTCTGAGTGTGTCCCCTCTGCAGCAGGCCTGTCAGGGCCCTCCGGACCAGCAGTGGGCAGCAATGACCACGTGTCTGGCCCATAGAGCAGCTGAGTCAGTTTTAGGGCTTCCTTAGAGCTTGAATCAGCCCTTGGCTATTCCACCTTAAAGTGAACTCCTGAGCACACTAGGTCCATGCTTCTCAAAATGTGGCTCGTGATTTCTCATAGAAACAGAATGGAAATGCAGAATCTCAGGCCCACACCTTTGATTTACTGAATCAGAATCTGCATTTTAATAAGATCCAACGTGATTTGTATTTAAGTTAAAGTCTTTTATTGTATGAGGAACATAACAGAAAGTATTTGTCTGGCACATCCCGCCTCAATAGTCAATGGTTCTCTCGTCCCATTGTTGACATATCCCGTTGTAATTCTCTCTTCACATCCCAAAAACACCTGCACACTCACACACAGTCACAGGACTCACTAATCCTTAACTCTTTTTAATCTTGACCTTAACAGTTATAGTTGGAAATCCATTTAATAAACAAATCTCAGTCAAGGCTGATGATAGCCAAGATATTAGGCTCCCCCTGAGGTATTCACACTGAGCAAAACAAAACATCCCCTCCATCTCAATAAAACAAAACACACTTTGTATATGCCAAAAGCTGGACTCTGCATTGTTACAATAGTAGACATACCAATAGGTTAGGCCAGCAGCAGAAGAGGATATTTTTGGAAAATCATTCTTTAAAAATGTACTGTTGAATTACAAGAGTCTACAGGCTCTGGAATTCAAATAACTGCTCGATGAGCTGCCAATCACCCCAATCCTGACCCATTCCCTTTCTGAGTTTTCTATAGTAAGAGTCACTGAGCATTTGAACTTCCTGGGAGCCTGGGGTAGGTGGGAAGAGAGCACCTCAGATCTTGTTATCTTGCAGCCTTCTAACATTGTTACTCTTCCCTGGGAATAAAAAGGGGCAAAAACTGGTCTCCTTTCACTAATCACTTTTCTGTTCTCTTTTAGCACTCAGTGACAACAGACTTTTCTTCTGTATTTTCATCTTCCTATCTGTCAACAATAATAGCTTGATATGGGAATGACGTTTGGACAAATCATGAGAAGTTAACTCCAGTATTTATATGGCATCCAGTGGTACCACTACAGATAGAGAAAGCATGTTTGGAAGCGTTTAAGAACTATAACAAATGGAAAAATATGATAGAGTGATGACATTATTTTATGGAGTCTCAACTGCATCTTCTAAATCATTCCCAAAGATGTATGTCAGACTGTGACCAGAATACTAGCTATAATTTGGAGAAACTGGAATCTTCAAGATTTATTGTCTTTCATATTTTATCACAAAGTATAAAAACTCATTATAAAATTTTAAAAATAACCATCTGCTCAGATCCTAAAATTATATTAGATACAAGACTCTCCTATAATATTGGAATCATCATGTGCTTTGGGTATCCAGAATGAATACTCTTCCTTATTACCTTGAAATATTCATTATTTTTGTCCTATCCAATTTGGCTCAGTGGATAGAGTATTGGCCTGTGGACCAAAGCATCCTGGGTTTAATTCTGGTCAAGGGTATATACCTGGGTTGCAGGCTCCTCCCTGGCCTGGCCCTTAACCAATTATTTTGTTTCTCTTACATTGATTTTTCTCTCTGTCTTTCTTCCTCTCTTCCACTCTCACTAAAAGTCAATGGAAAAATATTCTCAGACAAGGATTAACAAAAAAACTATTCATTATTTTCTAATCTTAAAAATAAATATAATTCAAGAGAATGAGAAGATACATGACAGGCTGGGAGAAAAATATTTGCAAGAGACACATCTGACAAAGGACTGTTATGCAAAACATATAAAAAGAACTCCTAAAACAATATTAAGAAAACAAAAAATTTGATTAAAAAAGTGGGACCAAATCTTTACCAGACACCGAACCAAGGAAGATATACAGATATCAAATAAGCATATAAAAATGTGCTTCATATCACATGTAACCAGAGAAATGGAAATTAAAACAACAATGAGATATTGCTACAGAATGACCAAAAGCTGGAACACTGACACCAATCACAGATGACAATGGGAAGCAACGGTATTCATTGCTGGTGGGAATTCAAAAGGATACAACTACTTTGGAAGACAGTTTGGTGGTTTCTTACAAAACTAAACATACTTTTACCATACAATCCATCAATTGTGTTCTTTGGTATATAATAAAGTAGTGTAAAACTCATGATAGCATAGAAATCTGCACATGAATGTTTATGGTAGCTTTATGCATAGTTGCCAAAACTTGGAAGCCACCAAGATGTCCTTCAGTAGGTGAATGTGGTACATGCATACAATGGAATAGTATTCAGTGCTAAAATAAAAAATTGAGCTATCAAGCCATGAAAAGACTTGGAGGAAACCTAAATGCCTATTACTAAATGAAAGAAGGTAATCTGAAAAGGCTATATACTGTATGATCCTAGTTAATAAAAGAGTAATATGCAGATTGACCATCACTCCAATACACAAGATGGCTGGCCCCATGTAGTGAAAGATCCTGCCCCTATGTGGACACAAGATGGACACCACAAGATGGCCAGCAGGGAAGGGCAATTGGGAGGGACCAGGCCTGTAAGAGAGGGCAGTTGGGGGCAATCAAGCTTGCAGGGGAGGGCAGTTAGGGGTGACCAGGTCAGCATAAGAGGGAAGTTGGAGGTAACCAGGCCTCAGGAAAGGGCAATTGGGGGAGACCCAGGCCTGCAGTGGAGAGCAGTTAGGGGGCACCAGACCTGCAGGGGAAGGCAGTTAGAGGTGACTAGGCCTGCAGGGGATAGCAGTTAGGGGCAAACAGGCTGGCAGGGGAGCAGTTAGGTATCAATCAGGCTGTCAGGAGGGTGGTTAGGGGGTGATCAGGCTGGCAGGCAGAAACAGTTAGGGGCAATCAGGAAAGCAGTCAGGCGAGAAGTTAGGAGCCAGCAGTCCTGGATTGTGAGAGGGATGTCCCAAATTGGAGGGTGCAGGCTGGGCTGAGGGGCACCCCCCCCTGCTGTGCATAAATTTCATGCACCAGGCCTCTAGTTTTAATATAACATTCCAAAACAGCAAATCTATAGAAATTGTAAAAAGAGCTCAGTATTTTCCAGGGGTTGGGTGTGGGAGGACAGGGATGAATAGGTGAAGTACAAAAGATATTTAGGGCAGTGAAATGACTGTATATGATACTATAATGATGGGTACATATTATTACACATTTGTCAAAATGCACAACACCAAGAATGAACCCTAAAATAAAGCTATGGACTTTGGATAATTATGATGTGTCAATGTAGGTTTTCCAGTTGTACCAAATGCACATTCTGGTATGTGATGTTGATAATGAGGGAGAATATGCATGTGTGTGGGGAAGATGGGGGGCGTATACAGTAAATCTCTGTACCTCTCTCTTTTTTTGCTGTTAAACTGGAACTGCTCTAAAAAAATAGTCTTTGAACAAAGTCACAAGCACAGTTTTAACATCATAAAATATTGTTTTTATAAACATATGTTCATGACAGAAATAAGGTTCTCTTTGGAATGTAAGGTTGTTTGGTCTCTGGTTCATGTCATTAGGTTCTGCCAAAGCTATTGGTAAAACGATGTGAGAACCAGTTACCTTTAATTATTTTTAATGTTCCAAGACTGCACTTTAACTATACCCAGCCTTCTTCGGGAAAGATGATATATTTATTTTTGAAAGAATTAGGCAAAGTTGAATATGGATATATATATATATATATATATATATATATATATATATATATATATATATATATATGGTATATGGAGAGAGAGACAGAGACAGAGACAGAGACAGAGACAGAGAGACAGAGAGAGAGACAGAGAGAGAGTTATAGTAGGCATAGGGATGGTGCTATTGTCCCAGTATCAAATAGGCATTTGTTTCTGAATAGTGGGGAATGGACCTGCACCTTTGCTAGTCCAAGGATCCCAGGAACCAACCACCTGCTGGACTGGGAAGGACCCAAGAAACAGACGTGGCCTGAAATCAAGGGGAACTCTTTCCCTCATCAATTACTCTGGTTTTTATGAGTATGTTATAAACTACAATACCTCTGAAAATAGGAAGGTGGTAAAGATATTAATAGTCCTGCAGAGATTATTAATTGCTTACAAATCTATTTAAGTTTTATAGGCATTACTTTACTATTATACATATGCATATTTGATGGTTGTCATTACAAATTTCTATTTTTTATAGGTAATTTGTTGTCACAGTGTTTGTTGAAACATTTGTTCATCTCTTTTATGTGGTAAAATCTTCATTATTTGATCTAATTAGCCAACTGTTGAAATATGTAGGATGATCCTACATATCAATTTTGTCATAAAAATCTTCTTTGTGCCAGACTCCGTGCTTCAAAATCAGGGGTATTAAAGCAAGATACAGTCCCTATCCTTAAAGTATTTATATCTCATAGATGGTTTACCCATTGTGCTATATGTATTTGAATGTTTTTAGCAATCCATAAGGAATTTTTAGATTTAAAAAAAATGCTAAATGATCATCTCTATTGATTATTGTTATAGTAGTGCTAATGCCACTAAGTTAAGAGTTATTATTAATGGAATTTGGGGGGGGGGGAAAGGTTCTGTATTCATCTAAAAGTCTTGAAAACATTCTTTTTAAAAAATATATATATTTTATTGATTTTTTACAAAGAGGAAGGGAGAGAGATAGAGAGCTAGAAATGTCGATGAGAGAGAATCATCCACCAGCTGCCTCTTGCACATCCCTTACCGGGGATGTGCCCGCAACCAAAGTACATGCCCTTGACCAGAATTGAACCTGGGACCTTTAAGCCCGCAGACCGACGCCCTACCACTGAGCCAAACCGGTTTCGGCTTGAAAACGTTCTTGAATCAGCTTTTTATTTAAAGAATATATTTTTTCAGTAGGATACCACTTGTCAAAAAATGCTTTCTACTCTGAAATTTAATAATTTTGAGTTGTGTAGCAAGATTAAAATATCATGGAAATAATGAGTATTCTATTTGTTCCAATTAGAAATCCTCTGAACTTAGGGCAGTCTTGGCCACCCCCTTTTTACCTTATTAAACAGACTACTCACCCAAGAAAATAGTGATCTTTTCAGATGAGATATTCCATACTTTATTTCCAGGCACTGGAGTCTGAGCCATACACCATATGGTCAGGTTGTTCGATTGGGCTGGTTCATTGCCATACACCCTTGTGAAAACAGACTTTACGTTCAAAAATCCACTTTTGTCTTTTCTCTCTTCATTTGTAATGTATATTTCTACAAGAGGAATAAGAGCAAGGTTAGTCACTAACATTGCCAGCATGAGCCATACAGTGATGCCAAGGCCTGGCTAGAGACAGTTTGGTTTATGGTAAAGGAGAGTCTAAAGGTGTCTAATGGCAGTATCTGGGCAGTGAGGGTATGTTCCAGCAGGTGCAGAATTAACTGCAACTGTTTGCAGAGGCTGCTGCATGGCATTGGTCCATGGTCCAGATGTGAAATGTATTGATGAAGAGGATTGTTTGGTTTGTAACCAGGGCCCAGGGGAATTCCAGGACTCTGCTATGGAATCTGGATACATAGCAGGAATATGCCTAAGTGATCAGGAAACTATAAAATGACCTCAGCTAAGACTCTGAGATGCTCTGTGCCATCTCAGTGGTTCCCCTTCCCCAGTCCCCCTTATGGGCCCCTTGTTGCAAATGTACATGTGATGCATATCTTTACTTTAATGGTGATGCTTATTGTGTCCTTTTCCTGCAATAAACTTCAGGTTTATAGCCACTGTCATGTTGGGTCCTGTGAGTCTTCTTTAGAAATAGCACCCTGTTTAACTGCCTCTGTTAGTCCAACTTGCAAACAGCATACATGGCAGCAGGAATTTAATGTAAAACTGTCATCAGAGGCCATAACTTTCGGAATTCTCACAGCGTCTTTACATTAAAGGCTCTACATGCTAGTTCTGAAGTTTTTACAAACTCATCACCAAATGTAGTTACATGCTAGTGGAACTCTGACCACATCGTCTGGCCTTATGGTTGGGAGTGTCATTATAACTGCACAGGAACTTCATTTCTCTAATATAATTTTCTCTTTAATCCAAGCTAGCCTTGTCCAACCTAATGTTGCTATGACTCACTTGTCTCCTTTCAGCCAGATCCTTTTACCTGTGCACACACCGCACATCCACTCTTTAATTATTAAGCCCTTAGGATGTTAGGTTCTGGCCAGCATCAGACTTCTGTCTCAAGCACAAAGCCTCAAGTCTGTCAACCATAAGAGCACAGTTTCTGCCAAACTAAAGATAACATCTTGACCTCAGTTATGTTTCAGCCCCAGGCCCATGAAAGCGGAACAACCCTACACTACCAACCACATCCTCGTGAAATCAGACAGGATGACGCCATGGCCAGCATCGGGACCTGACACAATGATCAACTCCTCCCTTTGCTTTGGCTCTGAGGAATCAGTAGAGCCGAGGACCCCAACTCCCTTAGCCATCTTGACTAATAACTACCCCCACCCTATATAATTAATCTATCATCCAGAGGCCATTGGAGAGCCAGGTCTCAGAGTACTGGCCCACCTATGCCTCTGGGCTTGGTGTCAGTTCCCTAAATAAACCTTCACTGTACTTTCTTTGCTGCAAACTGCCGTTCACATCTTATTGGGCTTTAATGAGTGTAGGCAAACCAACCCCTTTAGTTTGAAGTAACACAATGGACACATCAAACAGGGCTTATTTAACAGAAGAACATATCTATAATGACATTTAACAGATATTATCAGGATTGCATCCTGTCATGGTGGGTGAACTGTTTTTAAAGGAAACTAGTAACAAAACCAATAGTAGTTTCAAAATGAATCAAGTGTATTAACCCAATGATTGATGATCACCAACTTTTAAGTTCATTATTTAAAAAAATAATGAAGTAAGCTCTGTGTGATTCAGTTATTGTTGAAAATATGTTGCACTTTGAGGAGAAATGACTCAGGAGAAAGGTTATTGTGCTAGGCAGGGATGGCTGGGATTATTCTAGCAAAGGTGGTCATGTTTATCACCTGTGAAAAATATGGCTTTGTGTAGTCTCACCTGAGGTTATTTCAATGTGTGTTCCTGCCCCAGAAACTTTTCATCCTCCAGGTGAGCATCTTCCTTGTCTCGGAGCCAAGTTCTCTATGTGCACTTCCTCCAGTATCCTCCCCTCCCTGCCCCCCCCCCCCCCACTCCACCCAGGTCCATTCAAGAAAATGTAGAAATCATTCATTTATTGACTTAAAGCAGTGGTACTAAGTTAATGGAAGTATATGAAATTATTAATAATTGTATGTTGAATTAAAAGTTTTGCCTTCATCTAAAAGTTCTGCTTTTACTCACAGTGAAATAAAACATTAGTGTTTATATATAAGTTGATGAAGTCAAGTGTATTTCTCATATCCTGGGAAATGATACTCCCATCCTCTTGGAGGAGCCAGATGAGAACCAAAAAGTGGCATTTAATGGGCAAGATCCTGTTTTCCTTAGAATGGGAATGTCCTTAAATGCCAAGATAAACTTAAGCAACCTTGATTTCTATTGTCCTTTGTTTTCTTTCTTTCCCAAACCCATTTCCATTGAATGATTTCCTTACCTTCTCTTTCACTTTGAGGAAAACTTCTCTCTATAAACCACATGAGATTTGCTGAAGGAAATACATTCCTCAGTGAGCAGGTAAATGTTCTCTGGGTGTAAATACAAGACACAGGAAGAATTATTTGCAAGTTCAGGAGAAAGGAATACCCATTACATCTCCACTAACCCTCACAAAAGGCAAATTGGCAGAAAACATTTTCTCCACTTTTAACAATGCCATGTTTGAAGAGGTTGTGTGAAAACTTGAACTACAAATAGAATTTCTCTTTATAAAGATGTTATAACTTAATAGCTAGAATCCAGGACAATACTGGTGTTGCAAATCTGGATTCTTGGTTTTATAAAAGGAAAATCACAGCTCTGCACAGGCAGAATAAAGTAGTAGTAAATGGAAATGAAAAGATAGAAGGAAGACACTATAACAGGCAGAGGCCAGAGAAGTATATTCTGTTAGAATAAATGCTATACTTTGGTTATTTACATTTCCCAAATAATATAATATAGAGAATGGTCTCAGGGTTTGGACAGGTTCAAGCCTCAAACTAATGAGAGGGCATGGTCCTTTTGTGGCAAAGCCACATGCAAGTCCCAGCTTGAAGGACAAAGCCCTCCAAGCACAATTATAGCCAAAGATTATAATTGTAAGCTTGACCTTAAGGTCTGAACCTGTGGTCCCAGGTAGCAGAGTGATGTAGGCTGTAGGAGGTTTAGCAAGTACTGTTAAAACAAAGCTTGATAGAGTTCAGGTGCATGTAATTGAGTAGATTCAAAACCTTTGAGAACATTGTAAACATCTTGACCATGCCCTTACTTTGCCTCGTGGAATCTGGCTATAAATTAAAGATTCGGCTTGCAGGCTATGGCACTGTCTCTCCATTGAAGAGCAGTGTCCCATCTAGCCCCTGCTTTATTCTCTTGTCTGTCTTCTTTAATCTTTCACCGACCCCCCCTCTCCCCCCTTCACCCCTGGCCATGCTGAGCAAGGCACAATATAAAATGTTATTTGTAGCAGTGGCCACAGCAACCCTTTACTATAAATATCTCACTTTTGACTTATAGAGAGTTTTCCTAATTCATTTTATTATCTTAATTCTATAGCGTAGGAAAGATACACTTTATTATTGTCACTTGACAGGTGGGAAAACCAAGGCACAGAATCACAGACTAGCTAAAGGGTGTGGGATGTAGTTGATAGCACAAATTGGGAACTGTGTTACCTAAATCCCAGTCCAAAATATCTCCTGGTAATATATAATATTGAAATAAGAGAGAAAAATAGACGAACAGGTTGTTTATGTCACAAAACTAAAACGTTTAGAGTTAGGATTAGTTATGTTTGATTTTCAACACTGTGTTTATTCTTTGTGAGATGGGTTTCTTCAATAGCTTGGTGAAAATATCCAGTAAGACTTATTGGATCCTCATTATTTTATTCGAGACACTGAGAAATAATAATTCCATTTATAATTACTTGCTTTCTCATCAAGAGATGTGCGTAGTTTTACATATTACCAACCCTTGTTTTTAGTTCTCAAATATTTCCCAATTGATGAATACACTAGTTAATTAATAAAGATACTCAGCATGCCAATTTCCCCACAGACTAGTTAGCCCCAAAGAGTCTGGACCTTCTACTGAGTTGAGAAACCACATTTAAACATATTAAGTTACATTTCTCTGGTGAGATCCTACTGAGGTGCAGTGTAGTATACCTCAGTGTGTCCCTACAAAAATCTCAAGGAAATATGTAAAACTTTCAGAGGAATCTATCTGTTGTATATCCAAAAATCTATGTATTCTGTATCAAACATTGCAACTCCCATGTTCCCACTCATTCAACACTTGACAGTGGGGATACATGCAGCAGCAAGAATGCAGATCTGTGAAATTGCTTCACTTTCTGTCCTAAAAATTCAAAAGTTGCCCTAATTGGTTTGGCTCAGTGGATAGAGCATTGGCCTTCGGGCTAAAGGGTCCCAGGTTTAGGCATGTACCTTGGTTTTGGGCACATCCCTAGTAGGGGGTGTAGGGGGTGTGAAGGAGGCAGCTGATCAATGTTCCTCTCTTATCAATATTTCTAACTCTCTATATCTCTCCCTTCAACTCTGTAAAAAAAAAAAAATCAATAAAATATATTTAAAAAAATCAAAATAGGTCCCCTAAAATATATTCCTGTCAAATAAAGAAAAAAAAAATAGTTTATTTAATCCAATAAAATGCCAAAGATTGATGATTATCTCTATGATGTAAGAGTTATAGTAAATGGAGTAGTATTATATCAACTAGAGGCTCGGTGCATGAAATTCATGCATGGTGGGGGAGGTTCCTCAGCCTGGCCTGCACCCTCTCCAATCTGGGACCCCTCACTGTCCCACTGCCTTTTGCAATTCAGGACTGCTAGCTCCTAACTGCTTGCCTACCTGCCTGCCTGATTGCCCCTAACCCCTCTGCCTCCCTACCTGATGGCCTCTAACTGCTTCCCTCCTGGCCTGATATCCCCTTACTGTTCCCCTGCTTGTCTGATCACCTCAAACCATCTCTGCCTCACCCCACACTCAGAACCCAGGATTCTCTCCTCCGGCCAGTTGCAAACACCTGGGACCTGGGCTTCCCTTCCTCTGGCCAGCCACAGGTACCCAGGATCCAAACAGGCTTCATCTGGACTGGCCACAGCCACAGGTGACCATGGACAGGCAGCTTCACCCAGGCCCAAGCTGCAGGCATTTGGGACCATGGGGCGGATGGCTTGTCCCTCTCCTGGGCTCCAGGTGCAGGCATGGCACCTGAGACCATGGGGCAGAGGCTTATCCTTCTCCTGGGCTGGGCCGCACGTGCAAGTGCAGCTTCTGGCTCCTGGGACTCTAAGGTGAGTGGCTTGTCCCTTTCCCAGGCCACAGGCACAGGTATAGCCACTGGCACCCAGGACCATGAGGTGGGCAGCTTGTCCTGCTTCTGGGCTGCAGCTTGGCTGGTCCCCATTCCTCTCTATTGCAAGCTCATTTGTGCCTGGCTGGTCCCCATTCCTCTTTCCCCAATGTTGAGTGTCTGAGCAGTTAAGGTATGATGGCATGAGGGCATGTGAGGGTGTGATGACCATTTGCATATTAGCTCTTTATTATATAGGTTACCTTTAACCACTCTTATGATTCATTTCCTCCATGCTCAGTTAACCCATAAAAAGTCAATGATGTGATAATATCAATAACAAGTGTTGGTTCCATTATTTTTTAAAGAAAATTTCTTGTCAACTTAAAAAAAAAATGTTTAAAGATTTACTCTTGTGGATTCTCTGAATTCAGATTTTATGGAATGATTTAGACTTCAAATATTCTATACCACCTCCAGACTGTATCCCAAGATTTTGTTTAGGAATATAGTTCTTATCCTGAAAATCCTCTTATCCTGAAAATCTCTCTAAAACAGTAGACTAAAGTAGTTGAAATTGAATATCTTAGAAAACATGAGCAGATATGGTTTTCCTGAGCAAACAGAACTGTCTTTATTTAGAAACTTCTACTTGGTCCAAATGAGTAAGAAGAAAACAACATGTTAAATTAAAATAAAAAAGAAGTAAATATGCACAAAAGTCTACATGCACACACATACAAGCACACAGAGACCTGTTCCTTTACTCGAAATTAAATCATTCGCTCACTCTCTGTGTGTCTGTTGCCTCCGTGAGACAAGCCAAATCATTGATTTCCCCAACACTTTATTCTAAGTCCACCTGGAATAAGTTAGCACTAGCACAAAGAATTGTGTAAAAAGTGCCAAATGTATTTGAAAATTTCTGTAGGAGTTCAGAGAAGAGTGGAATTTGAAAGTAGCTTAGAGAACAAAGCTGAATTTTGTGGACTGGGAAGAGATGAGCCCAGACTACAGCTGGTCTCTGTTGGAAAGTAGTGGGGAATTCACAAAGCTGGGTGGATGGAATGGATTTCTAGGCCAGGTGTGAGCTAGGAACATTGTCCTGGAAGCAGAGGGAAGCCAGTGGATGGTTGGAGTATTATGAGATTGAGGAGTCAGGAGAAATAGATATAAATCTGGCTGTAAGACTGACTGTTTCCTTATTTCCACAGTTGAAGTTCTGAAATGGTGACCATTTGTCAGTTAACCCACAATTAGTTTCCCTAAATTTGGACAAAACCTTTTTCCAAAGTGCTTTGCAAAGAATCACTTTGAAAACATTTAGCTTTTTAATCTAGAAAGAAAAACCTTTAAAAACTTCCCTATGTCTTTATCAACTCTACATTCCTATCTGGAGTCTTCCTCTCCACCCTCACCCCCTTCTTTTTCATTTGGAATTTTACTCTCATGCTCTATTTGTTTTTCACTTTGCCTATTTCTATTTTTCCCCCCTATTACTCAATTGTTTTCTTCCTGTTTCTTTTTGGCAGATTTTCTTCTTAAATCTATACATGCATATTCACTTATTTATAATATGAATGAAAATGTATTTTTTTGCTTAAATTGTGATTATCCTTTTATTCTACTCCAACTGAGAAAAGGAACTAATCACATTTCTACTTTTCCAATTCTAGTTACATAATATAATAAAAAGAAAATCCATTTTTTTTCTCATTTGGCTATATTTATTTGAACTGGGGTGTTTTCTTTTATTCCCTTTTCTGTAAGTTCTTTGGCTTTCTACTTATTGAATTTACATCTATAGTTTATAAACCAAAATGAGATTCTTGGTCTGACAATTGGGCAAAACATTTGGAACCTCAGATGCCCTTGAGGCATGTGGTTTCTGCTCACATTCACCCCTTTTCCTTAAATCTCCTTGGCTTGAAAGCTAGATAATCTAGTCATCTGGACATGGAACTACAATGTGTAGGTGCTGGATTTGCTCTTTAACTACATGCGATTTGCCAGGAACATCGTTTTAGTGCTGGAAGGGGAGGAGACAAAGTTTGCATTTGTGTCTGTGTTGCAGAAAAACCCACAGGCAGGGACACACCCATTTGGGAACATGGCTCCTCTGAAAGTGGGAGGGAACAGGAACTGGAGGCACCTCCTCTGGGGCAGGAGTCAGCTAATAACTAACTATTCAAGGCGCACAGAGCACTCACCCTGCAAGGGAGCC